GCAGGAAAAAATGATGATGATGATGATAATAATAATAATTCTGCTCAAGAAATCTTAAACAGCATAGTATCTCAGTGTTACAAAATCTTTATTACTTTTTTTATTTTACTTTTACCTTTTTTACTTAACAGGGTGCTAAGTATTAAGCGCTCTATTCATCTGGTTCTAATCACAGCAGAGCTGGTCTATTTGTGGAGCTCTCAGGCCCCATAAGGTGAACCTCTCTTACGTTAGGAGCTTAGGCTCCCTTCTCCAGCCTGTTACTGAAGCGCCAGTGCTAATGAGACAGTCTCAACCCAGTCTCTATCCAGAGACTGACAGCAACACTGTCAGACTCACAGGAACTCCTGACAGGTCCTAGTGCAATAACTGCCATGAAAGAACCACCATATTCCCTAAAGAGTTTGTGATCTTTCTGCCCCCACCCCACTCCGATTTTCCAAATAAACATTCCCCCAAAGAGAAAGGGACTTACCCCACTATCACTATAACAAAATCCAGCAAATTCCATCCATTCCTAACATAAGCATTAGGGTGCAGCAATAATCCATACGCTATAATCTTCAAAAATGTCTCGACTGTAAAAATAATCAGGAAGGCATATTCTACTTTTTCCTGTGAAGAGAAACAAAGAGACACACCAAGAAGGAAAGAAACAAGGGATTAGAATACACTTCTCACAGAGACGAGCATTGTTTTTCTCCAAACTCTCATGAAAAGAAATGGAACAATTACAGTGCACAGGCCAGGAGAACATTTTAATTCTAACACCGAATCTCTCATGAGCAGCTGAATGTAAAACACTTTCCGTCCCAGGCCGCATGACTGCATTTGCCACCTGCCCTGACGTGTGTGCAGCGAGTCCCTATGACACAATGGGCACGTTATTTGCTCGCATTTGCCGAACACAGCACGCTTTCCTCCTGAGGTTGCCAAATCAGGGCCAGAAAAGCACAAGGGTGCAACGAAGATTCCGGGGCGGTGCCGGACGGAACACTCTCTGGAAGAAGTGAAGCTGCATCTGTTTGGCCCTCTCCTCCTCTTGGGCTTACGTCTGACTCCCATTCAGATTCAGTTTTGTCACTTTTAGCAAGGTGACCTTGGGCAGGCCGCTCTCCTCTTCCGAACATCAGTTTCCTCACCCACACAGTAAGGGGTGGATTCAGGATGACATACACGCTGCCTGCTAACTGGCATGGTGCCTCTCCCCACTGACACTGCCAAAGGGCTCCACGCACTCTCCCACGGAGCCCAGGGTCAGTCTCAGCGCAGCAGCCATTCCCATCTGATGGCCTCAGACTACAGAGGTGCCACCTGCAGCTGAGACGACCCACAGAACCTTTCCAGTTCCAGTGCGTGCTGCCCCACGGGTGGTAGGAAACACATCACTCAGCAGATCTTAAAAACTTAGACTCTTCTTTCATGTTTTCTTTTTTTAACTTAAAAAAAGAAATCTAAACAGCATATGCACTCACCAAAGGGAGGGAGGGAGAGAGGGAAGAAGGTGGGGAAGGGGGGGTGAGGAAGAGAGGGAAAAGGGGAGGAAGGGAGAGAGAGAGAAAGCATTTACAGTGGGGTGTGGTCGTGCTACAATCCCAACTCCTCTATTTCTCCATTCTGTTGGGATTTAGGACACCTATACATGTAAGTGTTTTTCAAGTCACCAGCGCTGGGATTTGAACCATGATCAGCCACATGGGACCCAGCTCCCTTAACCACTGTGCTACAGTGCCGGCCTATAAATATTTTTCTTTATACAGCTTTGGTTCCAGTAGAAATATGTGCCAACAGGGATGTGTGCAATCAATTTTAGTAGACACAATCCTTGCAAGAAGCTAGATAACAACAACAAAAAATCACCAATTAAATTCATCAAAATACAAAATCCTCTATTAAGATCACCTGTGGAACCCGAGGAAAGTCACCCATTCTTTAGGGAAATGTAAACCATGAAATTCATTTCTTTTGTTTGTTTTGTTTTGGGGTTTGGTTTTTGTTTGAATTTTTTAGGTTTTTGCCATAAGGCATGTACACTCATCAGAGAGAAACAGAAAGAGGGAAAATGAGAAATCACCCCCCCCCCCGAAGGGGAAGATGGTCACACCACAATCCCTTTTCCTCCACTCTTCTTCTGGGATTTTGGGCATGCACACACATGTGCCCAGTGTGATATTCTAGCTGCCAGGGTCGGGACTCGAACCATGATCACAAGGAAGTCTAACACCTTAATCATTATGCCACCTGCTGGCCTGTAGAATTCACTTCTTAAGGTCCTAGTGCAAGAGGTGAACTAAATTTGGCTCAGGAAATAATGAGCACCTCTTCACAGCAGGCACCAGGAGTCCCGATTAGAAAAATGTCTCCACCCTGGTTCTTGTCCTCAGAAAGTGTAGTCTGGCAGAGGATGAGGGTTTCAAATGTGCACACAGAGAACTTGTGAGCCACATGAGAAGTAGCTGACAAGAGTTGTTCCATACCTTCAGGCCTCCAATAAGCCCAAGGTCGACCCCACTCGCACCTTCCTGTTCACGACTGATTATGGAGAGTCTTCTCCACTTGGCTGTGCTATATGTGACACTAATACAGATATGACTTGGTAAATGCAAATGTGTGAGGTTTTTGATGAGGGACACTTTTTTTTTTTTTTTTAAGAAACTTTTCACAATACTCATTTTAGAGTCAGGTGGTAGCCCAGTGATAAGACCACTGGACCCACCTGGGAAAAGGTCCTGGCCCTTCCTGAATATGTGATCATGTGGCCATGACTCAGGTCAGCTGAGACTGGAGATGGACTGTGAAGACCCCATTAAGGCATCCTCCCCCCCCACTCCCTTCCTCCCTCCTCTGTCATAGAATTAAAAATATGTATGTACATATATTTTTTCTTCATTCATTTTAGGATGATTCCCATAGCCTGACCCCCTGAAAATTTGTCAATTGATAGGTATTTACTGGCAATAATTTTTGCTAAAGGGCATGCACGTTGGCTGGAGAGACAGAGAGAGACAGACAGAAAGCAAGAAATCACCCCCCAGGGGGATGGCCATGACACAATCCCTTCTCCTCCACTCTCCTCTTGGGATCTTGGGCACGCACACATATACACCCACATGAGTCTAAAGCCACCAGGTCCAAGACTTGAACTGCACTTGACTACATAGGAGTCCAGTGATGTAACCGTTACACCGTCTGCTAGTCCCACAATACTTAATTTAAATGTGAATTCTGCTGAGGCCACACCTGGCCTCTAAGCTGTCTGGCCCAGAGTGTTGCCCCCTGCCCACTGGTAGGACTTGCCCATGTCCTCCAACATCATCCTTCCTCTCGTCCACCAGGGGAACCACCCAACCACTGCTGAGCACCTCCACCTCCCCCAGTCTAGACTCTCCACTGGGCTCATAAAGGCCAGTTGATCAGTTCTTCTCCCCTCCAGGGCCCAGAGTAGTTGTCCCTGTCATTTCTAAACCTGCCCCCCAGAGTCCTCTTAGCCTTGGGACACCATCAGAGTGGTCTAACACATTCTTTGCGGCGTGAGTTGGCAGTGTCAGTGTCCACGCGTTAAAAGGCTTACCAGTTCTGTGCTCCTCCAGAGCCTCACGCAGGTCCTGGGCTCAGTCCATGGCCCCTGTGCCCTCTGGCCTTTGACAGGTCCCCCTCCCCTGACAGCGCCACATCCTCTAGGCGGAGCTGAACGGCCATGGGAGATGGCCCTGCAGCAGCACGTGCTCCCAGCCATGCCACACACAGACCTACGTGAGCCTTTGTTTAATACTCAGATCCCTGAAGTTCACTCAGTGCCATGGCAGGGGCTGGGGGCTTCCACAGGGGGAGCACATCACATGGCTACAGGGTGAACCACTGCACAGTCACTACCTGGGTTACTCTGAGCACCAGGAGCCAGCTCTTCTCCTGGGGAGGGGAGAGACCCAGAGGTGCTTCACTGAGGCCCCTTCACTGATCTGCACTCGGAGAGCTCAGACATGAGGAATTCTGTTACTTTAACCAGCGGCAAAGCTCCCTGAAATACCGACCTGTGATGCTCACATCTGACCCTGACCACCAAACGCAGACCATCAGTATGTTTTCAAGACTTCCAGTTCTACGGGAACAAGATAAGCTAAAAACAGCACACTGGTTTTACAATTCCTCTTCCTTTTTATCCTTTCTCCTTTATTTACTAGGCCAGCAGGGGGGGGGGGGGGGGAAAGGCTTTTGCTGCCATCAATATTCATAGCAGTCACATCCCTTACGTCAAGACAGCTCCATACTTCAGAGCAGAAAAACAAGGCAGAGAACAGAGAGTACACCTACCAAACACAGCTTGTTTTTCCTCCTTGGCTTTTATTTTTAAGTAATTTTGCCACAATAATATAAGGGCCATTAGCATACCTGAATTGTTTTAAGGTTCTTTTATCCCCCTCCTGGGTCCTACTCCCCCCCTTTTTTTAAAAAGAATTTGGTTTCTCTTTCCAAAATCCTTAGTGAATCATTTGATGGAATTGATTATAAGAAATATAACCTTGCTTTACTGTGATTCTTTCTTATAGAGATTCAACCACGATGCCAACTGAACAGTCACAGCCTGGGTGGCTCTAGTACCTAAGAGCCAGTGTCATGCTGGTCCTCAAGCCTGACCTTCAAAAGAACTAATATGAAGCAAATGTACCTCCTCATTAAAGAGACGTAGTGTGTGTGTGTGTGTTTGTGTGTGTGTGCATCTTACAAAACAAAAACCAAGGGAATTGGAGACTCGTCTGCTTTACAAATGATTGTTTCTCCTTTGTTAATACTTTAGAAGGGAAGACAGCAAGAAAGTCCAGTTTCTAGCAGGTGAGGTGGAATGAGCCAGGTGACATGTGGGAAAGAAGAGACTGAGGTCTGCGGCAGGGAAGCAGCAGCAATGCCAAGGATGAAGGACCAGGAAGGCTGGAGGAGGAGCAAGCAGGAACTCTCCAGAACCAGGCAGAAAATGAAGTGTCCCTTCTCTGTGAAGCCTGAACTGGGGCTGCTCCTTAAAAGTCTCTCAGAGGTTAATAACCTATACCTCAGTCTCCCTCTGTCTGCCAGGCACAGTCATGCTCATGGCACTCAGCCACCCACCAGAAAGGATTTCTTCTCACTGACAGGAGATCTTGAGTGAGCAGGGTCGGTCAAAACTCCCTTGAAAAGCCACTACCAGAGGGCCAGCCCTGCAGTACAGTGTTAACTGCAGTTCAGCACTGTGCAGAAGGAGATTCCACATGGTCAACTAGGATTTGAATCTTTGGCCCCGTGGCTTGAGAAACATGCCAGGCATGTGTGTATGTGTGTGTGTCCAAAATCTTGACAGGATGGGAATATGGAGGAAAAAGGATTGCAGTGTGAACACATCCCATAAGGGAGTTCTCCCTTCCATCATGCTCTCTGGCAAGGGAATGGAATAGAAGGGAATGGAAAGGAACGGAATAGAATGGAAGGGAAGGGGAGGGAATGGGAGGGAATGGGAGGAGAGGGGAGGAAAGAGGAAGGGAGGGGAGGGGAAACTACTACCAAAGATCATCCTGTAAGAGTCTTACCCAGACACCATCCTATATATGAATAAAGGTTCCCCCTTGAGACCTCGAGCCACCAGAGAA